CTGATGCCATAAAGCTTAGGTAAGGCTGGAGGCCTCAAACGGCGAGCCCGCCGGGAGGCAGTGTATACCATTGTGGTCACTGAATTTGACAGTCTCACGTGTTTGCACATTGACCAGGGACCTGTTTCCTTGACTGAGACTCACAGAAGCATTATTTTTCCTGTGAAAACATTATTTCTTCTGTAATCTCTGAAAGAAATGGGGTGGAGAAAAGGCACTGTCAGTGTATACTGATTAGAATGGAGAGTATTTGATTTAGTTTAGTCAAAAGTGTGGCAGGCAGGATTCTTTCCTCTTTCTACTCTATTCGTTATCTATGTCCACTTGTACCTCTCCCTCCAGTGCCATCGAAAGGTCTTCCCCTCTGCTAGGGGCTCATGGCTTTGCCTGTTTTCAAAAACTTGCCTCCCATCTCATCCAACATCGGGGGCCCTCACCCCCACCAATCCCTGCTCCTATTTTACTTTCAATGTCACTCATTTTTCTGTCTCCTGACTCTAAAGCTTATAGTTTTATACATGCTCTAGTCTCTCTGCAAACAAAATAAATATTCTCTAACCCAGTGTTCCTTTTAGCTTGTATGCTTCTTCTCCCCTTTACTCTTTAAAAGTTGATATATATATATATATAGTTTATATAATTGGCATATAGTATTATGTTAGTTTCTGGTGTACACAATTCTATATGTGTATGCATTGTGAAATGATCACATGATGTCTAGCTGACATCCACCACTCTTACTGTAGTTTGTGTGTTCTTAGGTGCATATGTTTCCAGATTTTAGCATCTCTGGAGTCAGAATGTATGGTGGATTGTTTGCAGTATAGCCGCCATAGTTTCCCTCCTTGTATCCATGTCCTTGTATCCATTATTCATATTGTGTAATCCTTTTGCACATGGGTTCTTAACCTCATCATGTGGCTTGTTCTGGCTGGGGGAAAGCAGCAGACATGATACAAGCAGCAGTTTGGAGAGCAATTGTACATGGGGGCTTGTCTCCTTTGCTGAGCTTACAGCCCTGAGACCACCATTCACACATGCTTGAACTAGCTCAGTAGAGTGGCCATAGAGACTGGAACTAGGGACCCCAGCAAATAGCCTGACAACCATCAGACATGTGAGTAAGGCCATCCCTGGACCATCTAGCCTCAGTTTATCCACCAGCTGACCAGCTGTAGGAGAGAGCCCAGGAGAGACCAGCAGAAGGACTACCCAGCTGCACCCAGCCCAAGTGTCAACCAACAGAATCATGAGCTAATAATAGATGATTATTGTTTAGGACACTAAGTTTTAAGGTGATTTGCCACACAGTAAAAGCTAATCAATATAGGGTATGTTCCAACTAATGATGTCTTGCATTTATACCAGGCAGCAGTTGTTTCTTTCTCAGAGATACATAAAATTATAGTGCATCTGATTGTGGTACAGCGGGTTGTGATTTAGATAGGAAGTAATACAGTATTATACTCTTTTGGCACATAAGAAAGTGAGGGATTAGAGGGTTCCTTGTCCTAGATCTGCAACCAGTGAGTTGTGGAATTTGAATCCAAGCAGTCTGGGACTCCAGAGTCTGCTCTAAACCTGCAGTGATTCCATCCAGCTGACAGGGGTGCGGCTGGAGGGATGAATGATAGGAAACCAGGGCCAGGTTATGGAGGGCATCTTAGAAGTTCTTGTAAGGGTTTGAATTTTTACTGATTGACAGTGAAAAGCCACTTGAATTGGAAGATCGGGGGTACTTATAACTCCTATTTGACATTGACTGAGTAAAATCTTCAAACCATCTCTAGAAATAGCAAGTCAAGTGTAGGGCATGCAGGGTAGAATCTGGAAGCCCTGGCCTCATCCAGCAGCTTTGTGTTGGAGCAGCACCAAGGTGCCAGGAGAGGACCTGAACAGAGAGTCTAGGAGAGCCGGTGCACTCTGAGCCAGCAGGGAGAGGGGTGCCCAGGCAGTTCCTGCCCATGCTGCTGGGGACTAAATTTCCCTCATAAAGTAAATGGCTTCTGTGGATCAAGTGCACCTGAAAAAATAAAAGGGGTGTGGGAGAAAAGAGGACTACTTGTTATAGACCATGTTATAATCCTCATCAGTAGTTACAGAACGGTGTCAGTTTGGTGGAAAAATTCTCCTTCCACATTGCTGGAATCCCAAGAGAGCTGTATCAGCCCATCTGTGATTAAAGGGATATATTGCCTGCTCTCTAAGCGCTGACAGGTTATTGGTGGGAGACACAGATATATGCCTAGTATAGTTGTAGTCTCAAAACAGACTCCCAAGCACCCAGCCACTGATGCCAACCCTTTCTTTAGCCATTCACTTAGCAAAGTCTGGAATTAAAAGCAGATTGGCCATTAATGGACTAGCTATATTCCAATGACCATTTGTTCAAAAGTAATAGATGTAGAAGATCAGTAATAGTCACAAATTTGCAGTCGGCAATCAATCACAAAGTGGGAGTTTTGATATAAGGCCATTATCAACCTGTGACAACCTCAGCTTGTTCCCCGAAAGACTTGGACTCTCTTTAGTTTCTCTAGAAGGTTGACTAATCAATTTTAGACAGATAAAGAGTTGGATCTAGCCAGAGTCAGCCACAAAATTTTAATCAAGGCAAATGCAATGGGGATGAGAACAACTAAAAAGGGACTCAAATCATTAGGAAATTTGCCCCATAGCAACATCCTGCTGGCTCTGTTCACTTGGCTAGACTCATGTTTGGAAATAAAGTAGAAAAGCAGTTTAAAACTGGGATCCTACTTCTCCCTGAGCACAAAATGAGAAAACTGAGGCATGAGTCCTTGTGGCACCGTTCTTCTGCAGGTACTATTGTCCCTGTCTTACAGAAGATGAAATTGGGCTTAATGCTCGGCTCCAAAACCTTTGCTTTTAACCACTGTGCAGTACTGCCCTGCATCCCCTCAAAATCTCTGTCTGATAGTCAGGGACAACCCCATAAACTGTGAAACTTTTTGAAATGATGTGGGAAAAGGTTTTGTTTTTTTAAAAAAATGTATTAGCACTAAAAGGGACCTGAGAAAATATTTATTCTAGCCCCCTTATTTCTGGAGGAGAAAACTGAATTTCTGGGGAATGAAGTTGCTTCCCAGTGTCACACAGCAGCTTCTGCCTGAGGGAGCAGGAATTGAGATGTCACCCCCGGTTGTGCGCCTTCCCAACCTGGAGCTATAATCACCTGCATTAAGGGATGGAACCAGCGAGAGGCATGCTGTAACTCGGGGAGAAAAACCCCAGGGCAAAACACCTCTGAAACCGAAGTCAGTCAAAGGGAGAAATAAAGTGGGAGAAACCCGTTTATTTCTTACAAGCAGTCATCCTGCATCTCCACCAGGCTGCAGAAGAAGAGAGCTCCACCCAACCTACCTTGCTCCACCCCTTGGAGACACCTACTGATATGCAGATGCACTAAAGCCTGGTGAGAGATTCTGGAAATAGTGCAATTTTACCCACAAGGCCCTAGCAAACTAATACACCACAGAACTTGGGAAGGCACAGGGGCTAAGGAGGCACAGTGGCTGAAAGACCGGCTGGAGAAAGAAGTGGGAAAGGCTGGGCTAAAATGATGAAATGAGCAGGGAGAAAGAGACCTGAGCAGAGAAACCAAGGATTAGCCAAGTGGAAACCAATAAAAACCAGAGTTGAGTCTATTTTCTCTTTTAAACAGAGAATCTAGATGTACAAGGTCTCAATCTAGAAGGGGATCTAAAAGAGGGCTGGTACAGAGGCCATGGGAGCACCAGCTGCTGTCACCATCACAGGGTCCCTGTGCAGCACACTGCGGGGGGAAACAACTGCTCCTGTGTTCAGATGTTCCAGAAAGAGTGAGAGGAACCCACGGCCACTCCTTAAGGCATTATTTGCTGGAGTCAACTTGACTATGCTGGAGGCCACTGGTGAGCAGGTGCTCACCCGAGTGTAAATACAAGTATAGCCCAGGAATTGTTATGCATATGCTCTGGAGGCAGGCTGCCTGAGTTCCAAGTGTGGCTTTGCCCTCTGCACCTCAGTTTACTCATCTGTAAAAGGGGAATAATGACAGCACCCACTTTACAGGGTTATGATGACGATTCAATAAGATAATGTGTGGGAAGTGTTTCAAGAAACGTATCTGTCATTCAATATCAGAGGCGTTTATTATAATAGTAATTCTTCTGGAGCCTCAAATTCCAAATAGTACCAGGTAACAGCCCTCTACGCAGTACTAGGCACAAGCACCACTGGAACAGGGGCCACTGATACTAGAGGTTAAGGATTCTGGCAAACGTCAGGCCTTAAGAGGGAAAACAGCATTCGGGATGTGAGCCTGCAAAACAGCTGGCGTGGCCTCTGGAAACCCCAAACGGGCTTTGTGTGGACGCAGGACCCCTTAAAACCGCACAGCCAGGGCTGAACAGGGTGGTTAGGCTCCAGGAACTGGGCGGGTGAATACTGCTCTTGAGCAAATGTCAAATCTGCGTTCTGCTCTAGCTGTACCCAGGCTGATTTGCCGGGAGCTGCTTCATGTCCAGGGCATTGCAGAAGTCCAGACGAGAGTCTTCCCGGCCAGGGACTGTGGCGAAATGCCACTTGGGGACCGGGGTGAAATCGGGTTAAGGGGGTCTCGCACACAGATGCCAGAGAAAATATTAAAGGAAAGCCCTCGGTCACCACCAGGGCCCTTCCCTGCAGAACCTCCCCCCACGAGCCCCCGCCAAGAAATCAGCAAGGCATGTGGTCGAGGGTGGAAGATGGGAAAGGGCATCTCCCCTGACCCGCGGCACCGCACACCCGGGCTTTGAGGGGTTCTGGGTTGAGGCACTACAATTTACCCTTTGCCTCTCTTCGGGTTCGTTATGAACTCAGAGGCATTCAAACGACACTCGTGCGGTTCGCTCACCGTCTTCGTGCCCCCACCTTCTGGCCGCCCTGCAAATGCTTGCCCAGACAGGAAGGCGGAGCCTGCGGGGAGGGGCGGGGCCTGCGCACTGGCAGCACCCTGGCACCGCCGCTGCGGAGTCTGGGGCGCTGCCAGCGCGCAGCGGCCGCCGCGGCGCCCTTAAATAGCATCCAGAGCCGGCGCCCGGCAGGCAGTGAGCTGCAGTGACAGTCGGCGACCCAGCGGCCAGGCCGGCCGAGGAGGTGAGTGCTCCCACCGCGGGGAGCCGCGTCGCTCCCCGCCGCGGTGCCAGGGGGCTCGGCGGAGGGGCGAGGCTGCTGCTGCCCCGCCCGCCGGAGCCCGGGAGGCGGCGGCCGCCGGGGAGCCGCGTGAGCCGTCGTCGCTCCCGGGACCTTCCGCCTTTGCGGCCTCCGTCCTCCGGCTCCCCGTGCCGTAGCAGCGGAGGCTGTCGGGCCGCCGAGCCGCCGCCGCGTCCTGCGCCCGAGTCGGGGCTGCAGGCCCGCCGCTTCCCTCGGGCGGAGCACGCGGGGCTGGTGTGGCGGCGGGGAGCCGCCGAGCCGGGAGGGAGGACGCCGAGCATCCGAGGGGCCGGTGACGGTGGTCTGAGGCTCTCTGGGACCGGGCACGGAAGCATCGGAGCCCAAGTGTCTCCTGCCTGGGTGTGATGGTGACCCCTGCGCGGAGCACTAGCTGGAGGGTCAAATGCAGCATCAAAAGGCGCCTGCCAAATGTAGAAATTCTCGCGGTGCCTCTAGAGGAGTGCTCGTAACAGCTGCACATAGACCAGATGGAGTCATTGATTTAAGGATCCGGCATTTTTTTTTTTTTTTTTTGAAATTAGCAAGCAAGGTGATTATCACCTTGCTACATAGTCCGAGAGTGGTGGTAAAGGACTTGAATGACCACGTGGACTGGAACCTAGAGACACACTCCAGCCAGTCATTGTGTATGTTGGAATTGCAAACCCCTTTCCCTCTCCGCCTACTTTCGAGGTTATGGAGCTCAATTAAGACCATTAGAAAAGTACCCTTTGCCTTTGACCTTTACCTTCATGTTGGTGCAGGAGTACCCACAGTGCCCCAACCCTCAGTACCCTTTGATTTATTTACTGTCTTTGCTTAGCATGAGCGAAGCTGGTTAAATCTCACAGTTTTGACACAAACATCACCTGTGATTTACCCAGTGTAAACAGTTACTTGCTTAACACAAACAAAAAGTGAATGAAAAAATCCTGGTTAATTGTGCATTTTCAGGTGAAGGTAGCAGGTTGGACTGCCTTACATCGTAAGGTTGGAGTTGACAGTTTGTGTTGGATGGACTTGAGAAGGTGGAACTTATAAAGAAGCCCTCACTTCCCGTCAGTGTGGAGCCAGACTTTGGAGACATTTTTGTCCTGACACAACTGGGATAATCCTTCCCAGTTTGAAACTTGACTCCTTATTTGTAAAAAGGCTGCATTAAAGTATTTCACCAGCTAAAATTCTATGACTGAAGAAAATCCTTATAAGCAGCAAACCAGATACTTGCTGTCCTCACTTAAAATAATATAGATATATTAGAGACCCAGTTTTACAGACCTCTGTTTTCTGCATTTACTGCAGAGAAGAGTTTTTTTTAAAAATTGCTCTTCCCCCCACAATTATAAGCATTTTGACATATTTCCTTCCTGTCTCTGTTATACATATCTTGCCCAGTACTCTTATTACTATTGTAGGAAGCCTGAATAAAAAGAAAACTCTGGGCTTTTAACTTTTGGGCATTTAAGAGATAGGTACTTGAGTCAAATGCAGGTCAGTGTCTATATCATGCCGGTGAAGGTTTCACGGCTTCTCTGTTTGGGATGAAGTTTGGAATAACTGGAGATGTACCAGCACTTGGTACAGTGTCATGCTTAATATTCAGCTCTTGCTATGTCTTTCGTTTTTGATGAACAGTGTTGTGGAAAATGGTTGTGTTTGGAGAAGGGGCTGGGGAAAGATCAGGTTGTTTTGTCATTACAGCTAGGGATTTCTCTTCTCCCCCTTCAAGTTTCACTTTTCTGGAAAGAGCAAGACTATAGGAATACTAGTGATTTCTAGATGTTGATACTTCTAACTTTTAAGATCAGCTGCTGAATTTGTTGTGCAAGTTTACCACATAAATCATGTGTCCAGTATTCTTTAGTACTTACTGTCTCTTATAACCAAATTGTGTCATGTCAGAATCCACTAATAATGTGTTATGAACAGTATCATTTGGATGATGCAATGGGTTAGCCTCTTTTTGTTACAAAATATAAAAGAACTTCCTTTAAGGCAGCTCAAAGCTGCTGGTATCCTGAGACCTCTTCGGGCCTTATTCTGACAGACTGTGGTCCGTCAGGAGGTAGATTGAATGTGCCAGAGTCTTTACTGAAGGATGTCAGTCCAGCTTCATGTTCAGACAAACATATTAGAGTCACTTTACTTTGACACTCATGCCTGGAGACTAAGTCTCAGCCAACAGCTGATCTGAAGCTGCCAGTGGTTGAGTTTGATTTTCAACATTCTGGTACTTAAAGGAGCTTCTGACAGCTTTTAAAGAAACACAAGTAGCCCCAAAGGAGTAGCTGGACTTTATGAGCTAGAAAGCAGTTTTACCAGTGTTTGCAGCTGCAGCTCTGAGACTGTCATTTTATCTCCAGTTCCTTACCTAATGCTGGATGCCATCTCATAAGAAACTGTAGTTTGCATAAACCCAGGTAAAACATGATTCGAAACTATTGCCCACACCACGGTGATGAGAGAAAACTGCCAGGGAATTGAGTTGTGTTCACTTTTCTGTTTTTTTACATCCTGGCATTGTGAGTTCTTGGCTGTATTGGGGACAACACAGTATTCCATTAGTTGTAACCTTTGTGGAATCGAGAAGGGAGCATGAAATATGCTGGTATCTTCTGTGAAATGTGGCTGGCATGGAGGGATGGCACATTCTTTGGACACTTAGGTGGAGGTGAGGACTGTGCTCTCCTGTGCTTCCTGCCTCTGAAGAATACATTCTGCTGGAGGCAAGGGTCTCATCTCCAAAACCTAAGATTTCAAAACTGGCAGCTCCATGTAGGTACCTGCACTAGTTCTCTTGAAGATTTAGTTGCCGTTCTTCAGGGTGAAAGCTTTGTACTATCTATATAGCATTAGGGCAGCAGTGAGGGTACGGGGAGGGCAGGGGCAGAGAGTATGTACATATATACATACATATATATATAACAAAATTATAATATAACAATCACAGAAATTATGCTTATTATAGAAATTTGAGAACTGTAAAAAATAAAGGCCTTCAAGAGAAATACTAACATTTTTGTGTATTTCCTTTTTGTGTTTTTCTAAACACTTAAAAAATGTAAGAATATATTTTTAATTGAAGATACTAGTTTGACAATTTAGTTTCAGTCACGTAAGATATTGTGAACATTTTTTTCCATGTTATTACATACTCTTCAAAAAAGTTTTGAAGATAACTGCATTATATGGTTAATGGGATATGTCATAATCTATTTACGTTTCTCCTGAATATTTAGGAGCAACTATTTCAGAACAGTTTACTGAACTCACATAGTTAAATATATCTGTTTTAGAAATTAGGGCATCTTCTGCTTTAAAACTATTGAAATTGGTGATGATTTGAAAATAATTATTATTAGTGAATGGTTTTAATGGACTTTTGGGTTCATGTGTTATAGTCAAAAGCTGTTGAAGTAAGAATTTCATGGTTTGGAAAGATAAATGGAAAGAAGTCAGGGGATCAGAGGAGGAAATGTGCATTGCTCTTTACACCATTTCCTCATTCTGGGAGGGACTTCTGATAAATGTGTTATCTGTCCATTTGCACAGTTTTGGCTGCTATAGAAATTTACACTTTCTCCTCAGGTTTGTTGTGGGAGAAGTGTCCATATACAAAAGGCCAAAATGCCAAAATGCCTTGAATACCACTTATTTTTTTATTAACCAGACTAAAGAGAAAGTTGCTGCAGGCACTTGTTTCTCCCTCAAAGCTCAGCTGTCAGCTCCAGAGCAGGACAGGGGCTGCTGATGACCGTGGTAGCTGTAGCCCAAGCACGTCACCTATTAGGTGATGATAACAGCTAACAGTGCAAGGCCCTGTCCTCTGGCCTCACATATGCCAACTCAGTTCATCCTCCGCAAAACTGCAAGGGAGGTCCTGCCAGTCATCTGTGTTTTACGAAAGATAAAAGAACACACACAGGAATTAAGTTACTCAAACCAGGATTGGAACCTAGGCAGTCTGACTTCAGAGCCGGGGCTGTGAATTGCTTGGCTCTACCGCCTCTCTAGAACCTGAGGTATTGTTAGTCCAAAAGCTTATTTCAACAGCTTTTGACTAGAACACATGAACCCGAAAGTCCATTGAAAGTTCCAGATTATCTGGCTGGTGGGAAGACGGAGGGAGAAGCTGGTTCTCTGGTGTCGTTGCTCCTTGGTTTTCCCGTGTTTCATTTACACTCTGTCTTGGGCCCCTAGAGTGCTGAAAGGGACAGCAAATTTCGACTTAGCTTGGTTCAGAGAACGAGAAGATCATGTGCTTGCTGCAAAACTATGACTTTCTAGAGAATTAGAGTAAAATTTGCCAACTCTGGAAGTTGGCCTTGTAAGACTGGACCAGTGTGGCAGTGCGTGATTAATGCATCAAGTGTGCAGGAGGAAGGGGGCGGTGGGGGGAGCCGGGTGGTGGAGCGCGCCTCTCTTTGGAGATTGGCCTCATCATGGCACGTTGGTTTGCTTTCTGCTCCAAGTCTTGGGGTACTTTTACCAGAAACAGACCTTCTCAGCATGTTCCAGATCTTGCTGAACAACTGTTCATAGACAAGAGAATGGAAATGGGAATTTTCAGGGTTTAAAGGCCCAATGGCACCATTTAGTGGTCACGGGCCCCTTTCTCCTAGTGCAGTTTTAGGCAGTGTGTCAATATGTGACAGAAATGAAAGCAGGGCCGCTGTGGCCAAAGGGGCAGGGGCAGGGTCCATGGCTGCACAGACAATAGACACCATTGCTCACTCCGTCGCCCTTGTCGCCTCTGAGGCCCTTCCGACCAGCGCAGGCTCCCAGAGCACGGACAGCGCAGCACATGTGCACTTGACAGATGCAGTCCCTGAGGTGCAGGAGAGGCGGTGCCTCAGCCAAGGTCACACAGCCGGTGCTCCCCTCTGGCCAGGACTGACGGGGCAGTTTGTTCCTGGGAATGGCTGTGCCTCTGTGAGCCTCCA